CTTAAAACTGGATTTTGAAAGCTCCAATATTTTTGCAAAATGTTCCCCATTTCTTTCTGCAGAAGAACAAAAGGGTCTTTGTTCAGGTGAATTTGCTGTGCGAGTCTTTCTCTCCTCATTTCTTTTCTTCAGGCGATTGGTACTTACAAGATCTTGAAAACCTTTGTTAATAGTAAAAATATGTTTCTTCTGTACTCATCATCATTTTTTTTCGATCTTCTTTTTTAACATTTTTATTTACTTATTTGTTTGTAGAGGAGTTCTTGAACTAGCTAAATGATGAGGGAGTGAATTGAGTTACTAAACTTAGAACACCAGGAAATACAAAAGTCCTAGACATGAATGCTATAGACAACGGAATGGACGAATTCTTCGAACAAGTGAGTCGTAGTTATTGGCTCGATCGAATACTATAAAAAATGTTTTCATTTATTTCCTATTAGGCACCATTATTTGGTCTTTCCACATTTTAATTATTCTAACTCTTGATAGATCGAAGAGATCGAAAGAGATATAGAGAAGGTTTCAAAGTTATTGGAGATACTTAAGGTATGTCGTATATATTTTTAAGTTCAATATATGGATCTGATACTGGTATATCGAGAAACATAATGAAATTAAAGCATTGTTCTATATAATTTGAGCTTTGTAATTAAAAAAAATACGAATACATAGGCTTTGTCGAAGTTTTGAGCGGCTTAGTAATTACCTAGTGCCTCCTTTAATTTATCAATAACCTGATGACTGTTTGCAGGATGCACATGAGAAGTCAAAGTTTCTTGTCAAAGCATCTGCAATAAAAGGTAATCGTCGTCTATAGATTGATTATTTCTTCTTCCAAGGATAAGTATGCATCTTTTAGGTAGTGTTTTTCCCCTAGCAAAGTTTCCATAAATTGCTGTATCTTTAATGTAGCCCTTCAACAGCGCATGGAAAAAGATGTAGACGAGGTGAAGAATATTGCTCTTGCAGCAAAATCAAAACTTGAAGATTTGGATAAAGATGTATGTCATTACCTTCTCTTACCAAATTTTATATGTTTTAACTATTTACTCGAGAAAACTTTTATCATACTTTAAAAACCAAGAGAAAAATCATATATTTTCTTTGTAATTTTGTTTTGGCAAATCATTTCTACTTGTACACAAGTTTTCAATTTTGTGAAAGGAGTCTATTCCATGAGTATTCAGTTCTCTGAAGCTTTTTTACTAGCATTTTACTAACTTCTGTATTGATGATCAGAACCTAACTAATCGATCCAAGCCAGGATGTGGAAAGGGATCAAGCATAGATCGATCCAGAACAACAGCCACTGTGTAATTGCAACATATTCTTATACTCCTTTATACTGGGAAAACCATTTATTTATACTTGTCTACACTACACTTGCAGGACTTTGAAAGAGAAGTGGAAACAAAAGGTGTTTGATTTTCAGGTAATATTTTCATGTGAAATTACTGTGAATTGTTAAGCATCTGCAGTACCAGCTTAAAATTTTATTTTTCCTTTCTACATTTTGAAATCATGTAGGTAGCAGGTAAACCTAATATAAAAATTGGATATATTGAGAATGTCATTTTCTATAGTTGATATGTCGGAAATGTTTATATAGAATATTTTCAAAGTACTTATTCTCATTTCAGATTTTCCGAACTTTGTTTGCAGAAACTACGGGAAGATATCCAAAAAGAACATAGGGATGTTGTTGCCAGAACAGTTTTTACAGGTAGATCTACTAAAGTTAATTAGTATTCATCATATAGTGGTTAATTTTGAAAAATATGTTGTGTGCTCATTTTTTTAATTAGTATTCATCATATAGTGGTTAATTTTGAAAAATATGTTGTGTGCTCATTTTTTTGGAGCTAATTTATTCTGTTTATCTTTCTTGGACTCAACTTTTGGCAGTCACGGGTAGTCATGCTGATGTTGAGGTGCATATTCTTTGTGAAAAACTCAAATTACATATTGTATATGTGAATGGTCTATATTTCCAATTTTATTTCTTAAAAGATAAAATTTAAAATTGTCTTTAGGTTATTGACCAACTGATACAGACAGGAAATAGTGGACAAATATACCAAAAAGTAATCCAGGAACAAGGACGAGGCCAGGTTTGTTGTTTATATTCTTATATTTTCTTAGTAATTTAGTTTCTCTGTAAAAGACAAAATTTTTCCTTCCATTCTTTAAATTCTTTTGGCAAAAAAATATTTCTTTTGTAAAAAAGATTCATCTACTTTCTTGCTTAATTGTATAGTTCGTGAGTCAAGTGTATATTTTTGTGAAGGTTATGGACACACTTGCAGAGATCCAAAACCGCTATGAAACTCTGACAGAAATAGAGAAGCAACTTCTCGAGTTGCAGCAGGTAATCATGAGCAAGAATGTTACAGACATCACATATGCATTTAGCTCTCTAATTGAGCTGTCGTTTCACGCAGGACAGCAAAAAAATGATAAAACTTTCAATTATTGAACAAGAACCTGGGAAAACTAATGAACGAAGTGTCTGATAACTTAGCAACTGATAATAATTAGTCGGCCATATGTTATTTCATCAAATTAAAAAGGTAAAGCACATCTAAACATTAAAATTTTCATGTAAATACATAACCAAATGTAGCATACCAGCAGGTTTTTTAATTGATTAAGCTAGAATTATTCAAGTCCAAAATCCTCTGCTATAAATGGATAACAGAATCTCACGGTAAAAAGTTCACAATTAGTCTAGGTTCTATGCTATTCAAATTCATATTTTCTCTCTCTGAGATTAATTGTGTATACGCTAGCTAGAAACTCTAAGCCATGTTTCATTTTGAGATAAAGACTGTTCATGATCTTTCCTTGGAAAGGAGCACTACTAGGTGTGCATAATATATGTCCATTCTCAATTCTCTTGTAGATTTTCCTCGACATGTCTGTTCTCGTTGAAGTTCAAGGTGATATGCTGGATAACATTGAATCCCAGGTATGAATCAGAGCAAACAAACAGCATACTGTTTTATCAAAAGAACAAACAACATACTGAATTGTTCAAATTGAGTTGTAAGTACACTTATCTATGTGACACAGTTATGTGCTTTAATTTTGGTGTTTCTTGTCGTCGACAGGTTTCCAGTGCTGTCGAAGATGTAAAGAAAGGGGCCGATGCCCTCCATCAGACTAGAAAAATGAAGCACCAAACTTATAAATGGATGTGGATGACGATATTAGTTTTTATCCTTGTAGCCATTGTCACAGTAATAGCAGTGCTTAAGCCATGGAAGCACTTATAGCCTTTATGCAAGATTATATAAAACTGATGTCATGTTTCAAGTTTTATGGGAGTATTAGCACTCTTTGTTATCTCATATCCATGTGACTTCAAGTAGCTTCATTATTTGCCTTATTGGAGTAATTAGTACAAAATGGACAGAATTGAACTTACATAGTGATTTTAAAACTTTGATATTTGTAGCTTCCTTATGATGTGTTTATACAAAAAAGAAGCAATATCTTAGGTTTTTTGCCTGTATAGAGCATAAACGTTTGGATTTTCCATGTACATGCATATTAAGTAACATTCTCAATCCATAATTTAGTTAAACTTTTTGGACAAAATGTGCTCGACATTATGACGAATACCTCATTTTAAGAGGTTAAATCACAGAACATCAAACTTGAGTACATATTTTTGATTGCATACCGTATACCTTTCGAAGCAGGGGCATATTTGGCTTTGTAGTCCTCAAATATGTTAACGAGATCCGAACAGGTTATTGCTTTGGAACTGCTTTCTAATAAGTGATTATTTTAACAAAATTGGATGCATAGAATCAATTTAGAAATCAAACAGGTCTTAGGAAGAATTGAACGTCGTTACTTCGACAGCTAAGTGACTTTGTGATAAATTATACTTTTTCGTTCATAAGATCAATATATTGGTGTTTGATATTGTTTTTGTTCCCTCTTATAGAAAAGAAGAGTTTATCCAAAAATGCATTATATAAAAAGAACTTCCACACGTATCGTTTTAGTCCTTATAGAAGATGATATATTTTAACTAGATTGGTTTGAAATTTTTGAATGATGTGTGTTTGGTGGAAAAATTGAAGAAGAAAATGGAGAATCGAACTTTTGTATTATTCTTTCTAACAGACTCAGAAAAAGAATTAATTACAATTCCCTTGATACAATTTCTCTCTAACTAGTTTAGAAAAAGAAATTACACGTCTTATATCGGATTTCCGATTTACAAAAGAGAGAAGGGTCGACAAAGATCCTTCCATTTATTTAACCTGGGTTCTTCACGGTAGCGAAGAGATGCCTCCCTCGAAACTCGTGTCGTGTTTACTTCTCGTTGACGATCCGACCGTCTCACTTCACTGGAACGATTGATGAAACTTGCGAGGCAAGTTAGTTAGAACTCCTTACGAGTTTATTAATCTCTGTGAAAGAGTTGATTTGAACCGAAAATTCGGTTAATAAGCCAAGTGTTTTCGTCAAAAGTTGGTCTCGTTGTGAAATTCATTATATCTTCGATCGATTACAACAAATTCAAAAGAGATAGCCTTTTTATAAGACTTCTTTTACACAACAAAATAAAAATTATAACTTTTTAGAAACAAACGCAGGATCGTTGTTTGGATCGCTGCTTGCGTGAGATCTTTGCCTGTGCCGGGAGCGCTTTGACTCGTGGACCACCAAATCACAGATCGTGAGGGGTTTAATGATTCTTCCTTCGTTTATCGAAGTGAGAATTTGAAACGAAGATCTTATCAAAGTAAGACGATCGTTCTTCTTAAGATCAAGTCAAAGCTCTTATCAAAGTAAGACGATCGTTCTTCTTAAGATCAAGTCAAAGCTCGAATCTCAAGGAATTGCCAGAAACTCAAGTACTCTGCTCTGTCTGCTCCAAATACTCAGCCCCCTTCAAAATGATCTCAGGGGGGTATTTATAGCCCCCGGACAAATAGTACTTCCGAGACAGTGTTTACTGTCTTGACGGCCGAGACAGTGTTGCCTGCTCGGCGGCGCCGAGAAGAGTTTACTGTCTCGGGTTCCGAGACAGTAAACACTGTCTCGGAAAACCTAACTTTCAGCGGTTTTCACCGTACTGCCTTCCCAAGTTTCAAACTTGTTATTTTGACAGTTATCCACGTGATTCTCGCCCCGACGTTCCCCCACGTTCTTTGACAGTTAATGGACACGTGTCGGCAGTTATACAAAACGGTTTCTGATCCCTTCGAGAGCCTGTTCTCGCCGTGCGAGACAGTAAACACTGTCTCGCGTGCCGAGACAGTCTACATTGTTCCTTGTGTTCTTTTGATCTTTGGATGATCTCTTTTTTGAGCTGTATTTGGATATCTTTCAGCATTTTTTGACGCCTACAGATACTCCCTCCAAAGTATTCCAGACTCATTCTTTTATAGAGGAGTCTGGGATACTTTGGATAAGATAGATTTTACTTACGATCTCTTCAATACTTGGTTGAGTAGATTGTGTAGAAGGATCCGTAAATAATTTCAACTCCTGATCTATTCATCCCTTAGTCTATTCAGTTCTTTATAGAATAGCTAATACTCTTCCGGTACTGCGTTTATCGCTCGATCGTTATCGAGATCTTGAATCGAAGCTGGTATTTCTTTGACTTTTGTCACCAAATTGATACTTGTATATCCTTCGAGAGTTCGTCAGGTTATCCTTAAGAATATTCAGAATAATATTCTCCAGAAACTGCCTGTCGAATGTAGGAAAATAGTTTAGACTCATATACCTATTAGAGTATTCTGGTCTCTTTTTTGTTGGTAGAGGTGAACCCAATGATGGAGAGGAAGAATTTTATATTCTATCTCCTGGTCTCTTTTTTGTTGGTAGAGATAAACCCAAAAATTAGAAAGGAAGAATTTTATATTCTATCTCCTGGTCTCTTTTTTGTTGGTAGAGATAAACCTAAAAATTGGAGAGAAAGAATTTTATATTCTATCTCCAAGTCTAAAGAAAACTCAAAGTGGGATCTCCACTTAGAGAATCTGGACAGGTTTGAATAATCCTAACTGTCATAAGGTTTGATTATTCAGCTTGAAAATGGATCCCTCGTTCGTGGAATGAATCGAGAGAAGATTCTGGTTGTAGTCCTAACTGTAGTAAGGTTTGACCAAGTGGGGGTTTGAGACGATCCTAACTGTTTAAAGGGTTGATCGCTCGATTTGCGGACTTCTCGTTCGTGGAAGGAATCGAGAAGAGATTTTGGCTTTGGTCCTAACTGTTTAAATGTTTGACCAAATGGGAATTTGAGATGATCCTAACTGTTTAAAGGTTTGATCGTTTAATTTGTGGACCTCTCGTTCATGGAAAGAATCGAGAAGGGATTTTGGCTTTGGTCCTAACTGTTTAAAGGTTTGACCAAAATGGGAATTTAAGACGATCCTAACTGTTTAAAGGTTTGATCGTTCAATTTGTGGACCTCTCGTTCATGGAACGAATCGAGAGGGGATTTTAGCTTTGGTCCTAACTGTTTAAAGGTTTGACCAAAATGGAAATTTGAGACGATCCTAACTGTTTAAAAGTTTGATCGTTCAATTTGTGGACCTCTCGTTCATGGAACGAATCGAGAGGGGATTTTGGCTTTGGTCCTAACTGTTTAAAGGTTTGACCAAATAGGGGAACGAAGTGATCGAATCTCATCTCAGCAAAAGAGTATTCGGAAATCACCGTGGGGATGTAGTGTTTATCACTTTATTTGTAATGATCGGGTTATCCCTAAGAAAATTACATATAGCATTCTTCCGAGAACTTTCCGTTACATGAACCATCCACCCCTAGCTTCCTTCGCGAAACTGGGTCCATCATCATACTGAGTTACATGACCGGGTTATCCTTAAGAATATTACATGTAAAAATTCTCCAGGAACTTCCCGTCAAGAGTGGGAAACAGTTTAGACTCATATACTTATTGGAGTATCGAGGAGCAGTTTATACTCGTATACTCTTTGGAGTGAGGGGAAACAGTTTATACTCGTACACCCAATGGAGTTAGAGTCTTCTTTACTTGGCTTGTTTCGCCGTTATGACGCCGGAGTCAATTAAGGCTTGGATTTTGTTTTTGAGTCCGAAGCAAATCTCGGTGGGATGAAGAACCCTTCTGTGGTACGCACAGTAGTTTGGATCTGTAATCCTCTTAGCTCCATCCTGATCTTTAATAGGTGGTAGCTAGATTTTGTCATTAGCGAGGAGGTATTCCAAGATGGCTGGAGCTTCATCATCTTCGAAAGAATACTCCTTTTGGAACCTCGGATCGAGAGTTGCGTTCACAGGAATTGTGGATGTCGTCGGTTGACCTCTCTCAACTTTCTTTCTTTTAAGAAAGTATTCAGCTTGTTCACCGCGCATTTTCAAATCTTTCCAAGTCTCGGATGGTACGACCCCCAGGGCTTCCAGGACATCGATGGAGAGATTATTGTGACATGTTTGCAGGATGAACTCCTCTGTAACAGGATCTCTGCAATTCATCGCCATGTTACGGAAACGCTTGACAAAATTGTCGACTGACTCTCCGTCTTTTTGCTTCTCATCCAAAAGGGTTCCGATTGACACTTCGGTGTCATCATCGAAGAAATTGCTGAGGAACAAACTTTCCATGTCATCCCAACAATTAATGCTTCCTGGCTTGAGACGTTGGTACCAACCGAAGGCGGGCCCACGAAGGGTGCCAACGAATGACCGAACCATTAAAGCCTCGTTTCCAGAAATCATGCCTAAATGAGACTTGAAATAAATCAAGTGTTGAATCGGCGAACTCTTCCCTTCAAACGGTGTGAAGTTAATCAGATTGAAAATTCTCTCATTTGTTGGATAGCTAATTCCATCTCTGTCTTCATCTCAGCTCTAATTTCTTCACGTTGTTTGGCTAGAGCTTCTTGAAGTATTTGAGCGAACTGATCAGAGGTGATTGTGAGTACTTCTCTGGTTTGCCCTGTGCTAGATACTGTATCATCCGAAGCGATCGCAGAACAAGTGTCCGAGAGCTCGTCCTCTGATGATTTTCCTTCATGCATTCTCTTGTAGTCCCTATGCCTGATGGCTCTTAACTGGAGTCGGGACATCCGTTGGGTAATTCTTGAATTGACTTTTCCTCTCGAGGAAAAGTCAGGATTTGAGTCACCTGAATGCTGCTTAGACTTTCTTTTATCAACCATGTTGATAGTGACTTCAGGGAATTCATCATATTGGATAGCCAGCTTCTTGCGAAAATGTCTCAGCTTGGGCTTTGATATTTCGGTAAAAAGCCTCTGGAACACTGAGATTTTTTGCGGGATGGCTTCTCGTTTGGAGTAGTCATATTCCGAAAATGCTGCTCTAATGAGTCGCGCATAGGAACAATGAGAGCTTATTTTTTGAATAATTCTCTTTTGAAATTTATTCACACCCACAGCTTGATAGTACGATTCATCGGTATTATTGTCGGAAAACCCTATCGTCTGTTGGCATGACTTCCCAGGCATAACGATGTCTTTTGGCGAACATGTCTTTTTCTGGGGGTGTAAAACCTTGTTGGCATTCTCAGGACAAATTATTGTTGTCTTTGAGCGATCCAAGGTTATGTCAGGAGTCACACGTTTAGAACCACCCCCTTGCGGGTGCGGAATCTTAACGGGCTCCGAATGCTGATTTTGCACAACTCCAGACTTTGGAATCCAAACTTTGCAGAGTTTTGGTGGTTCTTTGGCCACTGTTTCCTTCTTCCTTTCTCGTCTTTGTTGTAAGAGAGCACGGGCATGAGCAGCGTTTGCACGACGTTTTTGTATACGTTCTTTGAGGGTCGAGCGAGCCCTTTTGACAATAGTCCATTCCTCCGTCGTTAGTTTAGCAGAGATATGAGTGATTGGTCGTTGAGACAACTGAACCACTCGATGCCTCCTCGACTCTAAGTCCGCATGATAACGAACTCCGTCGGTTTGTTCCAAGGCCTTAGCCATTTGGCGAGCACGGCATTGGCGTTGTCTCTGACGAGCTCTTTTCGTCAGTGCCGGCGGGCTTTGATTTAATGACTCCTTAATTGGAGAAAAGTCATTATGAGCAGAGATGTTGCAAATAGAATCCTCAGCAACAATTAGACGAGAATCTTCACCTGTAGCATTCGACGGCGTCGAAAACTTAAAAACCTTCTTAGAAGATGAAATCTTCCTGCATTTATGAGGCGAGGAAGATTTTGAGGTTCTTAGAAGATGAAATCTTCCTGCATTTATGAGGCGAGGAAGATTTTGAGGATGAGGATGACAGGTATTCCTCAAACTTTGCTTGGTCAAATTCGTACTCGACCGTGGATTCAATCAGTATCTTGATCGGCTACGACACGATGGTCTCGGCAGCGAGACCATTGGCTCCCACTGTGGTCGCCAGTCTGTTTTCGTCAAAAGTTGGTCTCGTTGTGGAATTCATTATATCTTCGATCGATTACAACAAATTCAAAAGAAATAGCCTTTTTATAAGACTTCTTTTACACAACAAAATGAAAATTATAACTCTTGAGAAACAAACGATCGCTGCTTGCGTGGGATCTTTGCCTGTGCCGGGAGCGCTTTGACTCGTGAACCACCAAATCACAGACCCTGAGGGGTTTAATGATTCTTCCTTCGTTTATCGAAGTGAGAATTTGAAACGAAGATCTTATCAAAGTAAGACGATCGTTCTTCTTAAGATCAAGTCAAAGCTCGAATCTCAAGGAATTGCCAGAAGCTCAAGTACTCTGCTCTGTCTGCTCTAAAATGCTCAGCCCCCTTCAAAATGATTTCAGGGGGGTATTTATAGCCCCTGGACAAATAGTGCTTCCGAGACAGTGTTTACTGTCTCGGCGGCCGAGACAGTAAAGACTGTCTCGGGTTTGTCTCGAAACCCAACTGCTCAGCGGTTTCCGCCGTAACTGCCTTCCCACATTTCAAACTCCGTTATTTTGACAGTTATCCACGTGATTCTTGCCTACGACGTTCCCCACGTTCTTTGACAGTTAATGGACACGTGTCGGTAGTTATACAAAACGGTTTCTGATCCTTCGAGAGCTGTCTCGCGTGCGAGACAGTAAACACTGTCTTGCCTGCGAGATAGTAAAAACTGTCTCGCACGGCGAGACAGTAAACACTGTCTCGCACGGCGAGACAATAAACACTGTCTCGCGTGCCGAGACAGTCTACACCGTTCCTTGTGTTCTTTTGATCTTTGGATGATTTTCTTTTGAGCTGCATTTGGATATCTTTCAGTATTTTTTGACGCCTACACCAAGTACTAAAGCTTCACAATTTCGGTTGCTGAAAGATGCTTTAAGATCTCTAAGATTCCGGAATGGCGCGATCTCACCAAAGATTTTCAAAAATGACGCAAAAAATCCCGTCCCTAACTCAGTTGAGTTTGTTGAGATTTATATGGGGGTTAAGGGGTGTAACCGCCCCCTTAATTCGCTCCTAAGTGGGCAAAAATCCCTCAAATCGTGGGGGGAAATGTTTTAAAACCGTTCAGCTCGTGTTTGAAAGAGTCAAACGTCGAAACTGGCGTTCTGGGCCCGAACTCTGCGTTTTAGACCTGAAACGCAGAGTTAGGCATGTGCTTAAGACTGAAAACGCAGTGTTCGCACAACGTTATGAATCTGATCAGAAATGAACTCTGCGTTTTGGAATCTAAAGAGATCATTGACTTTTAATCTCTTTCATTAGGACATTAACAGAGATCGTTATTTTGTAATCTCCACTTTAGCTCCTTAAAATGTGAGAGTCGTCAGATTGTAACTCCCGTAGTTGTCTGTGAAGACTGTTAAATCAGAGTTTCCATCGATTGTCGTGAAGGTCGTTCAATTGTAATTTTCTCGATCTACGTAAAAATCTTCTAATTATAGCATTCATTTGTTGATTTGATTGTGGAATTGTTATTATGAAAGTCGTCAAATTGTAACTGCCATCATTGTTGTTTGATTGGATCAGCTATCTGCAATAATTTTTAGACAGCCTACAATGTGAATATGAAAAAGGTGCACATTAATATAAAGAAAAATATAAGGATGCATGAAATTATGTAAGGCGAAATTACACTTAAATGCCATAAATTTTCACTAAACTTGCACTTAAGTGACTCCTATTTTAAAACCGAGCAACAAATTGCTCCCAAAGTATTTAAGTGTTGCGAATGAATGCATAGTTTAAAAAAAATCTCAAACCATATTAATTTTTCTCTACATACCGAAGAATATCACATAACAGAAGGTCCTAAAGTGAAACTTTTAGGCACTTAAGGGTATTGAAATGAGACAATTTACAAACTAAGGGTATCTGTATGCAACATTGGGTAAACAACATGGCACCAACGTGCAACATATTCAAACTACAGGGTATTTATTTGCAACACATAAACACTTCGAGACATTTGAATGTACGACTTAAACTAGGGGGTGTTAAAGTACAAGGTTGGTGAAACTATATGGCATTTAAGTGCAATTTAGACACAAAGATTTTATTATTATTATTATTATTATTTATTTTTTTAGAGAGGGAATTTAGAAACAAAGATAATTCTTATGCAGCCACTCTTAACTCTCATCAAGTTTTTTTCTCTCTCTTAATTCAAAGGCCATTTTAAGCTTAAAATCTTTATCCATTCCCATCACCAATTATATCTTAACTATTTATTACAACATTAAAATCTGCATGAAATCAAATTCCGAAATCAAATTCCTCAACGAATGGTTTTTTTCTGTTTGGTTCGTTTTCTAGATATAGGGAAATGTATTTTTTCATGTACAAAAACACAAGTTTTGAGTTTTCCAAATTTTTCCAAGAAATAGATTGTTTCGCTTTGGTTCGCACAAAAAAATGGTGGGAAATCAATGTATTTATTTTTCTTGTGTTTGGTTCGTATGGAAAAAAGGAAAAAATTTGTTTATATGGCAAAAAGCCGTCGATTTCACGAGGTTAAGGAAAGAATTGAGGGAGGGAAAAAAAATCTGATGTGACGGCGATTTTCACCGAGTTTCCCTTCTTCAACCCTAGCGAACCAAAGATGGGAAAAAAAACCGACGAAAACTTATATCCTATGTGGCGACAAAAAATCTGATGTGGAGACGGCGTAAAACTTTTCTATCGAGTTAAAAAACGAACCAAACAGCCCCTAAATAGAAATAGAAAACCTATAATAGTAAAATTCCCTACTTTTTAAAATAACAGCCACTACAGTAGAAACAAATAATAAACCAAAAAACGCTCTTTATCTTCGATCAATGACGTCCGATTTGTACTAGCATTTTCTTTTTGTTCACTAATACCTCGTCGATTCTCCCCAAGTTCGTCTCAAATCCCGACACCGGCATCTTTCATCGATCGACGATCAATCCACTGATTGCTCTTAGGTCAATCTTTTTTGTCCCTGTTTGTTCAATCGTCGGATCATCTAGGGTTAGGGTTCGGATTTTGGGGGGTTTTTGCGATTTGACGCCCCTTGGTTTTGTTTGCAGATAAGATCGACGGAGAGATGTCGTCGGTGTTCGGTAGGCTTTTTGGGAAGCCCAAGGAGCAGGCAGACGCTCTCTCTACCCTTGACAAGTTAAATGAGGTGATCTCTTTGTAACGATCTTGTGATTTTCTTTTTATTTTGAATTAAAAGTTCGAACATTTTCATGTATACTTGCCAGATCTCGTAACTGTTGTTGAATTATCATTCACGTGATTTAAACATCATGTTTATACCTCTTTGATTTGTCTAGTATCCAGTGATCATACCTCAAGATTTGGGTTTGCTGAGATCTGTATACTTTAGTGTATTGGCGTTGTAGTTGTCTGTTTGAGTCGATATTATTGTCGACATGTATCTTGTATGTCCACTCTTTGAAATAGTTTACATGGTTATATTAAGCTGCAGTGGTGAATTCTCTTTCGAGAAGATTTTTTTTGTTGCTCACAAATTTCCCAAGATCATTTTGTACCATTCATTCCTTAGTCTATAGTCATGATCGCCCATTTTTCTTTATAGAAGGCATATTACCATGCCAAACAAACGTGGGCTGCCATAGCCACTTAAGTTGTAATTTCTGTGATTTTGCGACTCTCTATTTGAGAATTGAGAAAAAAGTTAATAGGTGCTGCTATTCTAATTGCAATTGCTAACCTGCTTGTATGCAAAATTGTAGACACTTGAGATGCTAGAGAAAAAGGAGGGTGTTCTTTTGAAGAAGGCTGCTGGTGAAGTTGAAAAAGCTAAGGAGTTCACAAGAGCAAAGAACAAAAGAGGTATTCTTCTTTTTACCTATTGTAGCGGACTCCTGTTCTATATCTCTGCTCATCGACTTCTGTCGTCAGTTGCTTTTGCCTTATATTCTAGGTTTTCCCACAACATAATGAAGAGTTTATGGATTGATGTGAGAATCCTTTTTCATTTCTTTGCAATTATACACTATTTTCATTTTTTTCATTTTAGTTTTTTTAAGTTTTATTTAACCTAAGCCTGCTTATTTTGTCTCTACTCTAACTTATATATGAATACCTCGTTACAAACTTTATTCGAAATTGAGTGGAACGTCCAATTTCATGTGCATGTTCTATGGGCTTGTTAGTTCGCACTGACAGGATAAGAAATAATTTCTTTGTTTTATTGACGGCTTCAAAGAAAATATAATGGCTTTTACCATTGCTCCAGTTTAGTACAAATAATTGCCACTTGGCACATCTTAATAGTGGTCATATTCTTAGAAATATGAGTGTCGAGATAAAGTACATTGTGGTGGGTTGATGATGCCAATTGGTGGGTGCCTGGTGTTAGTTTTCATAGGGTTAGGTCTTTACATCCTTTAAGTGGATCAAACAGTCTTTAAATTTTAATCAAAACTTTTTGTTTAGTTTTTCATTTGTTATTTAATGAAATAGAATGGTCAATGTTGCAAGTGGATATTTTAGATAATTGATTCATATGCAAATGCCTTATTTTGGATATCTGTTATGACATGCATAAGATGGGACTTCGTAGTATAAATGGACAAAAAGATAGAAATTATGCTGGATGGATGTTTTCCTGTAAGAATGTTAATTATGGCCAGAGCCTGACCTCTTTCTTTTGTGGACAAAGACCATAGCCTGTAATTGGGCCTGGTGCAGCCAGTGAGACTTAGTGGTAATTGTGTGGGTCCATGTACCTTTCAAGTCATGAGAACGCTGTACATGCTCAGCAGGCTGGAAATTCTACACAATTTGATACATTCGGCTCATACTTGCTTCCAGCCTTATGTACATCCTCTTGTTCTAATTTTGACTATTGTGCTGTGAGGTGTTAAATGACTATCACATCACCACCATCGTTTTTCTTCTTTCAGTTTAATAGGACTTGGTGTCCTATGAAACATGCTAAAAGGTCAAGAGCTCTCTAGGAAGGACTTTACATAGTTAACAGGCTGCCAACCTGATTATAACCTCTGCATTGGTACTAAAATCCTGGTAAGAAAGATATGAGCTAGATTAGGCGTCTTGGTCGGTACATTGGTTTATGATTATGTGAACGGGGTGAACACATGGTATGGTGAATATGCTGGAAATGAGTTCCTGCACAAGGGTAAGATTGTAAGATGTAGTATGTTAATCCATCTTAATGGCACAATATAAACCAAACTGATATATGGAATACCATTTCCAAGTAGATCTTGGGCACTGTAATTGAAAGATCATGCTGTTTAGTAATGTTCCTATGCCAGTACAACTAGATCGTGCGTAATCAGTCCATGAAGTTACCCCCATGCCTATGCCAGATGGATACTACTTGAACATGCCAACTTAATATGCCTCGCATGCATACAGATCCTTTGATCACATGCGTGAAAAGAAAAAAACGTAGGGTTGGCGTAAATTTTCAAAACTTGGGCCTGATCCTATGATTTAATGCAACTTGGTGCTGTCATATTATTTATCTTTCTGAAGTATGGGCTTCTTATACTTGGTTGTGAAATCACAATTCTCATAACGTCACATCTAGAAGTTCTAGACATAAACTTGGATTTAAAAATCTAAGAATTTTCATCAGAGTTGGAATTCATCCTGAATGTCAAGTTGTCAACCAGAACTTCCAGATGCAATCATTTTCAAGGCAAACTTTGAATTATCTCATGCAGCTCAACATGTGGCAGTCTAACTCTCGTATATATCTGCGAACTTGGATTTTGTGTGTTGTGGAATGTTGGGTTTGGGTGGGGAAGGAATGGAACTGCCTCTCAAGTGGTAGCTTCAGCCTTCTTAATCTAGTAAGACTTGAATTTTGTGTGTTAGGTGGAATGTTGGGTTTGGGGTGGGGGAGGAAGGGAATTGCCCCTTTAGTGGTAGCTTCACCCTTTTTAATATTAAGTGGAATATATTATCTTTTGTTCTGATTATTCATATTTTTTCCTGTATCTTGTTCGCATTTGTATTAGCTGCGATACAATGTTTGAAGCGGAAGAGGCTTTATGAACAGCAAGTTGAGCAGCTTGGGAATTTCCAATTGAGAATTCATGATCAGGTACATTTTAAGCATCTTTTTTTTTCTCTCTTATGAGATTTGCATGGTTACTTCGCTGATATTTGCTTCCTGTTCCTAAATGATTGGTGAACCACTTCAACTCAGATGATAATGCTAGAAGGTGCAAAAGCTACAACGGAAACTGTTGACGCATTGAGAACTGGAGCAGCTGCTATGAAAGCTATGCAGAAAGCAACGTGAGTCGACTGTTAGCATAAACCTTGCTTGGGAAATTTAATTTAAGCCCTCTATTTTATTTTCCAGTTGTTAATTTCATGTTTTATTTATTAGATGTAAAGTGAATCCTCTATTTTTTTCCTTTTATTTCTTATTTTTTGGACTGCATGCACTGAGATTCACATTTGCGCAACATATTTTTAGTTACTATTTCATGTGAAAGTATTCTTTGCCATCTACAATCAGAAATTAAACGTGCATCCACACTAAACTAAATATGCTTATACAAACAGAGATGCTCATGTGTTCAGAGGAACACTCACAGGAAGTCACTTATCCTTGTGTGCACATGAATGCATACATGTTTATGGACACGTTCATGTGCACATGTGAGCGTATTTTTGGTTTCTGTTTGTTGCCCCATCTATAAAATCTATTAAGTGAACCAATTTTTGGTTCTTCACATCATATTTGTCTTTGGCCTTCAGCGTCTTGTATTGTTTCAAAACTCAGACTTCCATAATTTTCAAACGTCCGGCTACTACTATGCCCTACCCTAATCAGTGGTGATGGTTTTTCATAATGTTTGATTATTTTTAATTTTTTATTTGTTATTTTTTTTATTCTTTTGCCTTTGACTGCATAAAATGACTTATAAGTTTGATCATGGCATCTGTGGAAGTTGAGATATACTCATAGGTGCTCTTTTTTATATTTGTATTTGCAGGAACATTGATGATGTCGACAAGACTATGGATGAAATTAATGAGCAGACAGAGAATATGAAACAGATTCAGGAAGCGCTCTCTACTCCTATTGGTGCAGCTGCTGATTTTGATGAAGTACTCATCTTCCTTAAAAATTGTAGTAATTTTTGTTTCCTTTCTGTCTAGATATGTCACGTGTATTTTTTTCCCACTGTAGGATGAGTTGGAAGCAGAACTTGAAGAATTGGAAGGAGCAGAATTAGAGGAACAACTTCTTCAGCCAGCTACAACTGCACCTGCTGCTCCAATGCCCAACATTCCATCTGGTAGGCAACCAGTTCGTCCTGCTCCGCAGAAAAACACAACTGAAGAAGATGAACTTGCTGCATTGCAAGCAGAAATGGCTCTGTAGTGAGGTAAACCCCACTTCTCCATCATTCTGGACGGGATAAAGTACTTTATCTTCTATTTGCAATTTTCATTTTTGATTGCTAGGTGAAAGGAAATTCAGAAAGTGAATGCAGCATCTATATAGAAACCAGAAAGAAAAAAAGTTGCTACTATCTTAGAAATTCTGTTTTTCTCAGATGGAAAACATGGTGACATTGAATTCATTATGCAATTAGTAATGGGTTATGAGCCTTATGACTTATGGCCAACAGAGTAGAGGTGAGGGTTGAAATACTATGTAATTTTTACATCAGATATGTGCTTCACACACATCCATTTTACGGGCATTTTGGATAGGCTTAAATTCATCCTTCTTAAGTGTATAGTGAGTTGTAATACAAGCATCATGCATAATGTGTTGAGTTAATGGCATAAGATGTTTAGTAGGAATGCAAGTAGAGCAGATGCAATGTGGATTTGGTGTATTTGGATTTGTTTTCTTCGAATGAAACTAGATCTAGATACAAATATTTGAATGTGGAACTCAACATCCATGCCTGGTAAAAGATCAAGTCTGGACTTAAATAGGAGACACTAAGGATAGATAGAAAAGAGCTTTGAACTTTAATCTTGTGCCGTCAATATCATACAGGGAAAATTACATTTTCCAGGAAAATTATAACCTGTACGCACTAGGATATGTCAATATGCACGTAATTGGACATTTTATATTAGTCTCTTATATTCTATTTAGATGCATATGTTAAGTTGATTGTACGATTGCCCACATTTTCAACGTTGAATATGGAAACAGATCTATGCTAGGTTACTTATTATTTCGTGACTTGTGCTAACTCCCCTCCAAAAGTTAAAAAAGGATTTAAAAAAAAATACAGGAAATCAATCCCAGATAACCAGCATGCACACACGCTAACCACCACACCAACAAACATGCACCCTTATCACCAGCACCATACACACAAGAAGAGGAAAAGTGAGGAGCTCCAATTCCATTTGCATGAATGTTGCAATAATTGATATGTAAATGTATTTGTTATTTGGATATTTGATGGAAAGTCCATAATGTATTGCAGACATACAAATATGTTTATATCCAAAGACAAAATAGTTCAACTTATTAGTGAACACACACACTAGCGCTCGTACGCACCCGCACGCAATATAGGAAAAAGACAACATCCGCCAGAAAAAAGAAAACGAGAACACATACCCACCAGCCACTAACCACCACCAACAAACACAGTCTATCAGGCCATCTGCCATCGTAAATACAACGAAGGGTAAAAGGTGACTTCTGTTTTATTTTGAATGTGTATTTTGCCAAGGAAAATGTACCCATATCGTTTCATACTGGATATTCAGGTAAGGAATTGATATTCCTAAGATATATTAAAAAGGTTAATAGTTTATCCTAGGCATTAATGTACGAGGAATGTAACCTGGACTAAGAAACTAGAGATCTAATGCATTCATAGTAGATTGACAATTCTGTTTGACCAGTAGGTGCATTTATATAATTTGTCTACTTTCTTGCTGTAAATTCTTATTGCTCTTGGAAATTTTCTTCATTACTGAGATGTATTTTCTTTTTGACATTGTAGCCTTACTAACTTGTGTTGTAGAAAAAACATAAAAATAAAAATAAACAAGAACTCTCTTGTACACAATATTATTATTGCCATATCCATGAGGTATCCCCATCCTATATTTTTTAAGTTTTACCATATATGCTTTCTTGTATTATTCTGTATTCTTACTGGTGCAATCTATTTCCATTGAGGTGAAAGTATGTGTGAGAAACTAGTTAAAATGCATGGTATGACTCAGTTTATAGGAAGGTTTACTGCTGCAGGCACATGATAGTTAAGTTAGAACCTTTCTCTTAATCAACAGGTCATTATGTTTTTCTTCCGTTACCAAATGAATTGTTTATTTGTTAGAATTTGATTTCAGGATATACAATGAGGTTTGCGAATATTACCAAGCTGAAGTAATTATCATTCAGAACTAGGTTCGCTAATATTTCCAAGATGGTATCATAATCATTGTTCTTATTGTTTGCAGGTCGAATATGCTTTGCCAATGACGGTGCTTTGTAAAAACAAATTTGATGCGTTTCATGGAGGGACCAAGCCTCTCCATGTTGATTTGAAATTGTGTGAATATTTTTCCTGGTGCACTTTATATTGTTGGAAGAAAGAAAACAACCCCATAGTATCTTCTTATTAGTAATTACAAT